GACATCCTGGACTTCCAAATAAGATCATAAAACCCAGAATTAGAACTACCAGGAACAATCCACAGGTACTATCTCAGGCAATGACTTAGTTATGCCTAAATATTTATGGAATCATGAATTTTCTACTTCACAATGCTACAATGACAATAATGCTTTTGGCACAGTCAAATTTGGTCCTGAAGGTCCAAGTATCTACAGAACTTTAGCAACTCTTATACCTGATCATTCGTAATACACTTCCAAAATTGTACACTATTTAAAATACTGTGCTGTGGCAAAGCTAAAGAGGATATGTATCTGTGAAAGCTGATGAGATTTTTATAAAATCTTGCAAAACTACAGGCTGATAGTGACAAGGTTTGGGTTTTTTTTTTTCTTTGTGAGTTGATATAACTACAGAATAAGGTAAACTATCCCTCATTCCCCAAAACAAGTAATTCCTTTGGGGTGGCATGTATACTGTAGCAGAACTGCACAGAAAAGGTAAGATTTATCTGCCAAGTGGCTCAACTTATCCAGCAATCTGAGTATGGCATGATCTATTGCTAAAATTGTGCTGGATAAGTGAAAATGGACTATTGTTAAGGAAAGAGAAGGAGTTGAAACCAGTCACAGAACATTTTTATGTTACACTGTTTTCAGACTTTTTAAATTACCAGCAGCATCAGCAAAGCAAGAGGTCCACCTAAAAAAATGTGAACACCATGAACAGCTGCTGAATTTAGAAATCAGTATTTCATGAGAAACTTTGCTGCTCAGATCAGATCCAGGAATTACATGCTAAAACTCCAGTATTACAAGTTCAGCTGGATGTCCAAGATTCAAGTTCTGCAGTTTGTATTTTGAACATCTGTCCAGGTTAAGCAAAAAATGCCAGAACAACTAGATTTTCAAAGGTTTTTATGAAAAGTAGATATAATATGTAGGCAACAGAAACTCTTCTTTACCTGTTTCACTCTATCTTATCTGACTCTGGACTCCTGCAAGGGCATGCTCACTAAAAATTACATTTATATTTACATGTATATGTATGTTTAATAAAAAATATACCAAAAGCTGGTACAAGGCTATTTAAACAGTGATGAGGTCCTGAGTTAGCTGTAGCTCTTCCTTTCCTACACATTTGCACTATGACCAGAATTGCTGTTTCCTAGATTCCTGTGGAAATGTGCAAGACCCTGATACTTACAGATGAGATATTTACAGATAATTAAGATTTTCCAGAAATGTCTCCTAGATACCAGAGCAGTATTTATGAGCATGCCAAGAACTTGCTCTTTGCCTTGTTCAACCTTCGGTTTAACCACAAAGTACTTGAAATTTGGGAAAACATGGAAGACCTGCCTCCTATTCCTCTGAAGAAAATTAAGAGGCATCAGTGGCTGAATGAGTGGCTACTGAATATTGACTTACTCTGTGGCAGAGCCCCTCCACCATACCCTAGAGGAAGAAGCACAAAGAGGTGGTTTCCCTTCCCAGTTTTCAAAGGGAGGACCTCGGATGTCTCACTGCACAAGGTGCTTGAGTATGTACCACAGCCTGATGGAGAAGAAGGGAAATGGAAACACGTTTCAACCACTGCTGCCCCAAAACTGCCCCTGAGAGTTTGCTGCCTCTTGCATGTGGATGTCAAGTGTCTCCTCATGGATCACATGGACAACTTAGGTATCCAAACTGGAGCTGTGAGGGGCAGACTTGAAAAGATGATGCAAGGCTTGTGCTGCAAAATCTAAAGCAGCTAACTCTGTTATTCATCTGTAAACATTCATTTGGATGCATAAGAAACAAAAACCAAGCAATCTCTGCTTCAAAACCTGATGCTATGTAAAAGTACATAATGACAATTAGTAAGTTGCTTTTAAATTATCTTTATATGCAATTATGCTTTTTTCTCTGTGGTAAAGTACGTTTAGGTCCTTTCCCCTCTTTGAACCAGATGGATTTAAATGAAGATGTGCTAAAAGACCATAAATTAAGGGATAAGATAAAAGCAGAGTATAGAGTGAGAAGGAATATCCTTTGGGACACTGGAAGTTGATATCAGGCCCAGAATTATTTCACAGCTTTAATAATGATTTAACTATCTTCTTATTGGGACAGCATGTACTATATGGAAATAGCTGTCATTTTTTTCCATCCCCTATGATATGTATATGGTTGAATTAAATATATTTTATAACTCTATCACTTGCAATTGGTAAGATTGCTTTGACTGTTTTCTTCTATTTTTGAAACCCTGTGCAGTTGTTTGAGTTGTTTACCACTAGACAAAAATCAAAATACACACAATGATAGCATAATGAAAATGGATCTAATAGCTGGCATTTTATCAAACCTATTTAAAAAACTTTATGCCATGAGACAATCTGTATGCTACTAGAAATCTTGCCTCTATTAGCTTGTTGTGGCTTTGTTCCTGGATATTTTATGCCCACAACAGACTAGAACAAAGGAAATATTAACTTGTCTTCAATCAGGATTATTTATTGACATCCACAGCATTAGGTGAACATCTTTCTATTAAAAACTGCCAACATCTAAAGGAAGAAATATTTAACTAATGATGTTCACCTCCTTGTCAAGTGACTTTTCACTTGGCCGCTTTGCTTCACACTAATTTGTTAACAAATTTGTTAACAAATTCTGGATGCCAGAAAAAGATAAACATTTTTACAGAGTATAGAAACATGCAATCTCTGGTTCGTTTCTTAAACTCCTGATTGTCAATACCATGCTATGTCTTGCCTCTGATGTCAGGAAACAAATAAGGAATAAGAACAAAAAGAAGAATGAAAATGTTGAGAACTGCAGGAACTGAAAAATGTCAGACACTTCTATGCTAATGTTTAATAAAGTGTGTGCATAAAAAAGAGAGGAAAAAACCTACCTTTGTTTGCTCTTATGTGAAAACATGAGAAATGCAATACCACTTGACTGCTGTTGGGTTTTAATTTACAACAAAAATGCAAATGAAACTGGCTTTACTCATCACAGTTTAAAATAGATTAATATATTTACACATGCACTATATTTCTGATGCTCAAAACGTTGTGATATCGTGCGGCAGCCAGCAAGGTCTGAGGATAACAATTAAGCTGATGTTTCAGGTGGATGGTGACATTTCTGTTGGCATCATATATCTGTGTATGTGTGTGTATGTATGTTGACCCTAGCCTCTAATGAAACTGCAGTTATACTAGGTTTAGGCTTTTCTTCTCTATGTCTTCCTTCATGTCCATGGTTAAGGTGTTTCAGCCCCACAGCTTGTTGACACAAGTGTGCCATATTGATAAAATTACTTCCCTTTCAGTTGTCAGAACAGATCCAACAAGCCAGTTAGTTTGGGTTACATGACCTACCAGGATTAGCCCTGTGACTTTATACTGAGATGGATTAGGGGGTTTCACATAGTCACTGACAGGGCTCAGATTTTTAGAGGTTTTAATGCTCACTCATCCTTTCCTTCTAAACCTCTCATTTTCACTTGTGTTTCAACGTAACACTGTGTGGGCTTTCTTGCTTGCAAACTTGTTTTGAACAGCTGTCAGATTCATGTATCAGCCACTGGCTAATTTTTCTGTTACTGGATTTGCGGCTCATCCCTTACCTCTCCCTGTCTCTAATATATTGACCTCATGGTCTTGTTGCAACTTGAGCCTAACAAAACTGAATGTAAACTCTTTTTCTCCAACATACTCTCATTTCCTCCCTCTTTGCCCACATGTAAAGGAAACACCCCAGTCCTTCCTACTCATATATTTTTTGGACTCTTCCTTTTTTCTTGCCCAGCAAACTCAGGCCACTCCTCCTCATCTTCAGCAGATTCTAGGGTCACCCTTTTTGCTTACTCTCTTCTAGATTTCTCCCCCAGACTTGTCTTCTATCATCCCGGAATTTCTTTCCAGTTTGTCTTTCTGGACTTTCTTATGGACATATGCCAAACACTATTGCTCAGGCTGTGTTCCTTATTTGCTGATGTGAACTCTCTGATTTCACTACTTTGCTCACCTGACCTGTCTCCTGGCATGGCCTCTCCAATTGCCCATTTACTGTAATAACTGATTTTGGCTTCTTTTAAGCTCCTCAGTAACTCTGCACATACTTATTGTCCCTTGCTGAGGTTAATTCTGATCCTTTCTTCCTTATGCCACCATACCTAGCTTCATCTCCTGGTTTCATAGCTTCACCCACACTTGCCTCTGACTTCTATTATACAACTGACAGTGTTAATTAGTACTCATTCTAGAAAGTTCCCACCTTGTACCCATTTATATCTTTTTAATTCCAATCATACCTACAAGGAATCAAACAACCTGTTTCTTCCTATTTCATAAAGAACTATTTCTTCCACCCAACGCTCTCTAGTTTTCTACCTTTTATGCACCCTTACTTTTGTCCTTGTAGAGGACCTAACGGGTCATGGATCAGCGTGTAAACAATACTATTATAAAAGCAAACAAAGACCTCTTCTGAGCACTTCTCTGAGGTAGTTCCAAACAAAACTAATTGACTTGGTCTGGTCCTCATTTAAAGGCCATTCTTTTGACATGTTCAAGGTTATCCCTAAACTTCAATCCAAAGGAATGATGGGAAGTTGTACAGACGTGCCCACACTATCAAGCTCAAGGCACTTGTTCAAGCTACCTAGATCAAGTACTTACAGAGTATAGTACAGGTGCATGAAGCACAGTCTGAACCAGGGGATGGAGTTCTCACAGAAGAGTTTAAAGCAAGCTTTACATCCAAGATTTCATTTGGTGCACATGACACCCAAACTGTCTGCTCCCTAAGGAAAGTAGGTTCACGCAGGAAGACATTAGGTTCACGCAGGAAGACATTGAGCTTATGGAGCATTATGAATTCCTTGGTGTTCAATGAAAACTGACACAGGATTCAGATGCTACTAGCTTATTTAATGTAAACTCATACAGCCTCTTCCACAGCTAAAACATCCAATTATGCTATTTCAAAACGTAAGAAGTTACATTGAAATGGGTTACCTTTTCTTGATATTGTCGCCGTGAGGAATCCAGGGACTGAATGAGGGCAGTGGCGTGACCAACAAACATGGCATAACAAGTTGCACCCACAATCATACTCAACATGGTTATCCAGAGGTCAGACATGCTGACAGGGGCGCGGGCTCCATAACCAATGCAGAGCATATGGCTCATGGCTTTGAAGAGTGCATATGAGTACTGCTTTCCCCAGGAATCATTCTGCAAAAAAGGAGACAAGTGACTGAGCCAGCAAGCAGCTGAAGGGAAAAATACATTTGTACCTGTACTGTGGAATCATAGATTACTGGCTCTGAAAAAGCAGACGGGTAATGTATCCTCTGTGCATGAGAAGAGATATTCCTTCTAAATGAATTGTTAGATAAAATGTCAGAGATTCTGCCAGATAATACTTAGCACAGTGAGATGAAATAAAATTGACTATTTTTAATACATGATTGCATTCTTAAATGTGGGCGTTAACCTAATTAGAAGGAGACTAAAGGTCAATTTTGTTTTACAGTCCATGGCAGATGGATTAGAAAGACCTGAGCATGCAGACTTGCCAAGTGCAAGAAGGTAGTATTTTGTTTAATATACATGAATATATTCCTATGGCTGCAGTTCTTTCTTTTCAGAGTTGTCCATTTTAATACACAACTACATTTCTTCTTATCAGCTGTTTCACTTCCCAGGGACAGGAAAAAAAAGTGTTATTTGTTGTAATGTCTGCCTATCCTGTTTTTTCTTGTAATGCTGTTTTTATATCAGAAGAATCTAAATTCAAAAGAAGTCTGTTTATTCTGCAATGATTGCAAACCCATGTTCATAGCCACAGCCTGTGAAACACAGCTCAGAAGAAAAGGTGAATACATGGGTCCTGCGTTTCTGGTGTGTAGATACTTCTTCTCATTCTCTCTGGGGGATTAGAGGGACTCGACAGATCACTTACAAGCTTTTAAAATCGCAAACGTATTGTTAGTATCCTCCCTGTAGCTTTACATAGAGACAGTCAAAGGGGCTGTTCCCACAGAAAAGCAGACACTTTAACACATTCCAAATAGCCTTGGGACTCCTTGTCAGATTTTTCTATTTTTCCTTGCCAAAGGAATTAAATGAGAACAGGAAAACAAATTGTGCTTGGAGGTATGCAGTATACATGAGAAAACACAGTATTTACCACAAAGAATAGAATAATTTCAGAAATTAAGAAGTGAAGAAGGAAGAACTGGGAAGACATTAGTACGATTAGGCAGTTATCCAGTATAGTGTCTAATATATAGGACCAAAAATTATAATCCTGTTAATATTTTAAAAATCTCCAGATCAGCAGTAGCATTTATATATAAAATTTACATATGAAATATCAATATTTGTGTCTCTCTTCCACCCATACAAGCTTTGCTCAAATGCTCCAGTTTCTCAATGAGCTTCAGGCTTGCTCTCTTGCATTTAAATGCCAAGGTTACTAACTACTCTTGTGCTTTTCATCTGTTAAAATGCTTTTTCTAGACCCCCTATTAGCTAAAATAACTGATAACTGCGAATTAGCTAACAATTCTTGGATTGTAGATGACAAAGTTACTATTTATTCACTAATTATTTACAAATTAATGGCTCCTCTGTATTTATACTTGTTTTACTTTTTAAGTTAAAGCCTTTTAGACTTGTGAGCTGTTTTTGTCTTCACAGGTGAAAATGTTGTGCTGTAAATACTGCTAAGGAATCGGTTTCCAATGTCTGTATTATAAAAGAAAAAAAAAAGAAAAAGAAAAAGAGAATTATCTTAGGCTGCTGGGAATCAGTCTAAAAATGAAAGAATGGAAGCAGCTTCCCTGAAAAATCTCCAGTTCAGGATTCAAATACCCAGTGGGAGCACTGAAACTCCTTTCCGTCTGGGTCAGTGCAGGTCTTTTAATGCAAGTTCTCTGTCTCTCAGAAAAGCAACTTAGAGGAATCAAGGCACGGTCTATTTTGAAGGACTTTCCTTCTAGCTGGTATCAATCTCCTTTGGATGAAAACAGTTAATAAGGGAAGGGAATTATTAAAGACCCATACCAAATTCTTTAGCAGTTGTAGCTTTATATAGACTATATTGGGGAAAACAATTAACTGCTTCTTGGAAAAAAATGTGTCTGTTGTTTAAGTCTACAAGTAGTAAGGAGGGCCACAAAGATGGTCAGGGGCTGGAGCAGCTCCCCTGTGAGGCCAGGCTGAGAGAGCTGGGGCTGTTCAGCCTGGAGAAGAGAAGGCTCTGGGGAGACCTTAGAGTGGCCTTCCAGTGCTTAAAGGGGGATACTGGGAAGGTGGGGAGGGACTCTTTACAAGGGAGGGTAGTGATAGGACAAGGCGTAATGGTTTTAAACTGAAAGAGGGTAGATTTAAATTGGATGTTAGGAAGATACTCTTCCCTGTGAGGGTGGTGGGACACTGGCACAGGGTGCCCAGAGCAGCTGTGGCTGCCCCCTCCCTGGAAGGGTTCCAGGCCAGGCTGGACGGGGCTTTGAGCAACCTGGGCTGGTGGAAGGTGTCCCTGCCCGTGGCAGGGGGGTTGGAACTAGATGGGCTTTAAGGTCCCTTCCAACACAATCCATTCTATGATTCTATGATTACTAAAGCCACAGTATTTAAGAGGTTGCAAGATCAAAACCTAAGTTCTTGCAGGGCTCCATACAGTGGATCTTGCTCCTAAACTGTATTTTTTTGTGTAATTATTGTAAATATTAAATAAAAATAAAAGCTGATCTTGATCTTGCCTGTGAATCTTTTCTAGCACATCCTTGGTGTGCTAAATCTCAAATAAAATTCTCTCAGTAAAATTATATTTTTACATCAAAGTCTTTGAGTTAATCCAAACATTGGTTGATTTTACTTCTTGACTGAGATTCTTTCCAAGTCTGTGAATTACAGTTTTAAGTAAAATACCGTTGTCTTTAAGAAAGAATAAGAAATTGGAAGTGAGGAGAAGGAAAAAGAAACAAATACAAGGAGGGCTTTCTACTAAGTATGTAACAGGGTGAGTGAAAAATAAATTAAAGACTGCTTGAGAAATAGTATCATGAGGGAATACGTGGTAATGACAGAAAGAAAATAATAAAAAATTTTAGAATAAAATAAACAAATATATATTTAATTACATATCTACCTTTATATTAAGCCAAAATAGGATCCAACACCTCAGACAGCCATGATTGCATCTCAACCCAGATTGGAAGTCCAGGCCATCTCAAATGGCCATTTGTTTATACAAGCGACGTTATATATTACTATGTAGCCTGTGATAGACCTCATTACGGGCTAGGCACATTTCAGACATTTGTGAATGGGTGGTCCTGAGCATCTCATCATCAGATGAGTAGAAGGGGTTTAGTAGGAGGAGAAAAAGACCTGGTGAAAAAGCCTGACAAAACATTTGAATTCAGCTTGGATTTGTCTGAGAATTTTGTTGCTGAAAATATTTTCCAATGCTTTCTTAATTGTTCATTTTCCTTAATAACCACTTCTTGTAGAACCATTTGCAAAAATTGGTCTTTTTAATTTTTATAGGGATCTTTTTTAAGATGATGCTGAACAAGTACCACTGTGGAGAGTACACATTTCAGTACAGTTACTTGTGTTGTTCGATGATTTATCCCGTATATAAACCACTTAAAAAGAACATTGGTTCTAATGTCAAATTGTATAAAACACCATTACTATATGAAATTATTATTATTATTTATTATTATTATTATTATTTATTTTTCTACTTGTGTTGTATAACCTAATAGTTTGTTAGAAGCAACTCTAACTTTGTTTCAATGTGAGAGGTTGAAATTTTCCACAAGCCCATTCCAACATGCTGCTCTTTGCTGAAGAAAAGTGCCACTCCTCTGCTACTAGACTAGAGATTTTTTTTTTAATAGGAAGCATTTTTCACTTGCATCATGAGGAGATTTTTACATAACACATTCACAGATAATATCTCTGAGTTAACAAAAGCCTATTATATGACATAAATAATCCTGTGTTTACACAGTCAGCTTTTCTTTAATGTAATTTTAAAACATTAATATTTATATAAACACATGTTAATTGTTTCCCTAAATGGTCATATTCTGGTTCTAATGTATAAATGTTATAGAAAAAACACAAACCTCTGTAAGCTGAAAAAATGTCCTGCCAATCGGTAAAAAAGGGCATCTAATTTTTTAGTTGACAATGGGTTGATCACTGTTTCCAGATTAGTAGTAATCAGTTTAAATGTTTTAAATGAAATTACATTAATTTGGAAAAGCTAATAAAGACTGTAATTGTGAGAAATAGCAAAGCTGTTTATCCAAGGACTGATTCCATAATTTAGCTTGATGACATTAGGAAATCCTCACATTTGTGAAGGGAATGATCACTGATAATTTGCAATTATTTCTGTAAGTATATACGTTAACTCAGTAGTTATCTTAAAGAAGATTTTAATCACATGGCACTTCTGATTTTCCAAAGTCTGTTTCCAAGCCTCTTCCTTCACCACAGGATGCTATCCTCTGTCTCACAATTTCACACAAACCTGCTACAAGTATTTTTTTGTAGTATTAACTTTTCAGTTTATAAGAAATAAATCACAGAAGGGTCACATGACACCTTTTAAGGGACAACAATAAAAGGCAAATTATTTTTCTCAGTGGATTAAGAAAGGGTGTCTATTTTACTGGAACCTATGGAGGTTTTCACCAGGAGATTTTGTTGTCATCAGACAATCAACTCCACTCACATACTTCAGTCATTCCCTCAGGCACAGCTTATCTTTCCTCAGCCATACTCTTGCACTGAGATATAAACTGATTTAGAAATCTCGCAATAAGCAGTCTATTGCACACACAGTAGTGGTTTCCACATTTTTGACTCGGTTCCTTTTTCGTTTCATATCACAGTCACTGTATGTGTCACAGAAATGGTCCTCTCAGTTTGCAAGTGCATGCTTTACAATCATGAAGCAAAGATTGACTTAGGAATTAAGTGAAATGGTTTCTACAGGCATCTTGAACTCACACTCCCGATTCTCCCTTTCAAAACCACAGCAGGAGTAGGAAGTAGCCTGTCCCTGCCCTGATGAGCTTGCCTTGTAATCAATCACACTCCCATTCATGACCACTTGCTGCCTTTAGGTTCTTCTGAAAGGAAGTGATATCTAAAGGAGAGAAAATGGATACAAATCTTGACAGGATATAGATGGTTTTTGTCTA